CCCCCCGATTTTCTTTCCCCCGTCCCGGTTTTCTTCCTCACGGTTTTGTTCCTCTGGCCGGACAAACAAGACGCAATCAATCACATAAGGTAACCAGAGGCAATCATTCCAAACGCAATCGTTTCACATAAGGTAACCAGACACAATTATTTCAAACGCAATCAATTCATGCATGACAATCAATTCATTCAATCATCTTCCTTCTTTCAAACAAACGGTGATCAATCTCTCCTTCCTTCTTTCATTGAAACCGTGATCAATATTATTCCTTCCTTGACTATCACCATGGTTTACATCTCCTTCCTTCTTTCAATCAATACATCTCCTTCCTTCTCTACTACCTCTCTCATCTTACGTCAATGTTTCTTCCCACATTTTCGTCCAGCCTTGTCCCTCCGTTCCATTGTACGCCGCCCCGCTCCCTTTTTGTTTTGTTTTAGCCCCTTCCTTTCATCCAGTTTTCCTAAAACTAGCCCTATTTAGAGGCTTTAATTTTGTCTGCATGATCTCATCCACAATCAGTGTTTTTATTCATTGCACCGTGATGCTCGGGCACCCTCCCTATCTGCGACCGCGGCCTACCCTGTCTAGGAGCACGACACGCAGGGAAGCCCCGCGCCATGTCGCAGCCATACGCCTTGCTCCTGCTCCGGATGGAACGATCCCCGAACACCCCCGGCTTGCTTAGGTTGCGCCGCCATCAGCCCGATCTCCCGTCCTGTCGCCTCCGCTTCTCGCCATATATCCCGTCATGTCTCTGCAGATCAGCCCGCGAACGACTCCGGAGGTGAGGACGACGCCGCCACCACCGCACCCCTCCATGAAGGCGAGGAACACGCAGCCGCCGAGGCGAGGGGCTGCTCCCTGCAACTGCTACTCCAGTCCACTACGTTCCTCAGTTGAGGTATTTGTTCATCAGCTTGCCAATTGTCATTTTGTTGGACTCCTGCACATACGTCTATGATTGCTTCATTGAAAGTCAGCTCTTGTACATTAGCACAAGATTAGATGATCATGGAGCGCACAGGAGCCTCGTGGACGGACAACCGTGCCCAGATTCACCTCATTGTTTATCCATGAGTATGTCACCGCGAGCCTCTGTACCACTAGCTACCAACTCTAAGATGTACTACAAAGGTTACATCAACGGTGCTATTCAGTTCACAATTTGAGGATCAATTTAAGGTTTTTCCGTTACTCTACTGTATTGCATTTAAGTCATTTATATGAAAGATATAGCAGAGATTTTTTCTACACCAAAAGAGCACATATTGGGTGATGCACTGTACAGTACATGAAATAATTCAGCCATGGTTTCGTAGTTTGTCGATCTGCTGAATTATTACCAGGATTATTCTATTTATTAGTATCCCCGTGGTTGTTGGACTGTTCGAGTGATAAAAGTGACGTGATTTTAATTTGTTTTATCTTCTTAAGTGCCGCAAGCCATGAGCCCATGATGTGCAATGAGGGATCTAATGTAGGCAGGACCAACAAGGGAATTGCGGAGCTACATATTTAGTTTTTTGTAAGGTGCATGCTTGCTTCAAGTGTCTACTGTCTCTATAGATATTGTGTAAATGCATATACGATGCAGAAGCTAAATATTGGATCACCTTTAGCATGAGAGCAAAAGGTCCGATGCAGATGCAACACATTCATTTTATTCCTGTACTGCATATATATATATTTTTTCAGGTGATTGTTCACCTTTGTAGTCAACTTCCTTGTGTATGCACTCGGCCCTCAATATCTATGTACTCGAACCATTAGATTTATTATTGGTAGTACTCATTATATTACTATAGGGGTTGAAGTGAAGCAAGGAAACTCCTATCCTTTTTAATTCATGTAAAGTAAATTTCTGTAAGGATGTGACACCCTTGGAAGGTGAGAAAGTAATGACTTTTGGTAATAAAAATAGTATTTTATAAGGGATATTATAGAAATATAATTACATGAAAAATAAATTTTAATTATTGCTGACATGCAAAAAAAAATCATTGCTTACCTACATATTTACAACCTTCTTACTTTTATTATTACACTATTCTTTGCTATACACCACATTTTAGCTATGAAGTTAATTTCAACTTACGTGCATACTGACTGGACTTGACTAACATAAGCACAAACTGTTCTGTCAAACATACCACGACCAACCCTAATAGGTTGTGCGCATCACAACTCTTAGCAGTATCTGTTACGACAGTGTAATGCCACGATCCCTAGCGACGAGCATCAAGGAGGATAAGATGGTAGCTGTCGACAAGGATTCAAGAAGGACGTGACACCATAGTGTCAGTTGTAACATTAGTCAAGATGAATCTCAAAAAGAAATATTTGGGATGTGGAGGTATGTTGAATTTCTGAATGTGGATTTTGCTAGAGAACAAATCAATGTGTATGCACATATTGCATTTGCTTCACCACACTATATGTTTATCCTGTTGTTAAAAATGTATTGTTTTTTATTGTTTGTCTTGTATTATTTGTTGTTTATTTTCTATTTTATTTCTTATTGTAGCAATAATTTGATCATTCAACTAAAAATGCTAGGTATTACAGTGACAAATATATGGATTTGGTAGTTTCATATAAAATTAATAAGCGAGAGATAATGAAATATAGTTGTGAGTGTTGCAAGAGTTAAAACAACTTTTAGGGGAAAAAATTTATAGTGGAATGCCATGTACTTAGGTCCATCTAGAACTGACAGTTTTGGATTTGTATGACGGTGAAACAAAGGTGATACTATTGTAGCCAGTTTAATTTACTTACCAAACTTCTCGAACTATATGATAAATCACAAGCGGAATTACACTATCGCATTAATAGAAATTTTTTATCCCGTTGCAACGCACGGGCAATGTCCTAGTAAGAATAATCATACAAGCATATATATACAACTTCTCCACAAATGGTTATGGTCAACATTATCTGTCAACTTGAGCATTCCAAAGGAATGCAGAAATCCATTCGAGGTACAATTTATACCGTCCACAATCCATTCAAAAGGAATCATATTAGTAGTAGACTGGAGACGGCTGGGCTGGCTAACTCATGGTGCAGCAAAGGCTAACAAACAACAGAGTTACATGACTAAAGTGTTGCCATATATGTAGTCATAGTCTTATCAGGGGCACAACAAACAAATTCTTTTGTCTTGCAGCACAACTCCATATTCCACAACAGAAAAACTATCACGCCTCCAGCGAAGGTCCTTCAGCGTCACCTTCAGCAGCACAGGGATCATCAACAATTGTGACACCCTCAAGATCCAAGGGGCGGCCAGTCATCGGATGAATAGGGTTCCTGTCACGAGGTCCACCCTTCCGGCCCATAGCTAGCAACGGAGGTGGAGGAAGAACACGGGATCTGAGGGCTGTGCCCCAACAGATAGCCAGTACCTACAAGAGAAGTACGGTTATATGGTGTCATGTGGTCTTGCAGGGCAGGTGGAAAAAACAGCATGTCATATTTGCAGCGACTACTCATTAGGTCTGCTATGGATGCAATCAAACAGATCTCATGTACTTGAAACATCTGAATCCTTATTCACTAAATCGACAATTTTCTTCCCCAGTGGAGGGGGGCAAAGTGAGCTTAGAAGTGAGCGGTACTTGCCAGTTGGCACTGCAACCAACTAGTATAGTGCAAGCCCCAGATAGTTGTGCTTGTCTGTCTTCTGTTTTATTATCTACCCACTCAATATCCCCAATGATACAATGTAATGCCACAAAGCATGAGAACAGCAAGGCCCAAATTGTTTAGGTTTCATAGAAAATGCATAATCTATTTAGCTTTAAGCCTCTAAAATACCCAATCATCCATCAAAGAATAAAGTTACTTGAATGAACAGACATTGTTACTTCTAGAGCAGGTGCAGCAGAAGCTGCAACATGCGAAATTTTCTCCAAAAAGGAGTATAACTGAGCTGAACAATACTCCCTTAGATGAATTTGAAATCAGGAGCAAGCAAAACTCACTTGACCCGGTCGAACTTGAGCCCCATCCTCTTGCCACCATCCTTCCCTGCAAACAGCAACAGAAAAGGAGGACGCATTCCCTCGTCAGCCATTCTTCAGTTACCACTAAAGCTCCCGCACACAGCCCCTCTGAAAATGCGAAATTTATTTGCTATATACTCCCACAGTGCTATTCTAGATCCGCACTGCCACTCCCAGCGGCACGCCAAAAATCGCATCCAAATCCTTAGCGTGCGCGACCAGAGTAAGCGGGGACGATTCTTCCCCAATCGAGATGCGAGCACCATGAACAGAACGACTAGGGATTCGGGGTGGGGGGCTGTCTCACCGAGGAGCGGGTTATAGTAGCCGAGGACCTCGAGGTGCTTGCCGTCGCAACGGGAGCGGCTGTCGGCGGCCATGACACGGTAAAAGGGCCGGTTCCGGCAGCCGAACCGCACGAGCAGGATCCGCACCACCATGGCTTTCTTCTTCTTCCTTGCCGCCGACCTCCGTTTCTCCGGGTGGGAAAGGGGGACAAAATTTCTGTTCTAACCTTTTATCTTTACTAAGCAAACGTATTCATCGCTAAGTGCACTCAGCCTTACGTACACACAGCAACACGAATCAATTACAGCCGAATGATGAGGGTCATTTAATTTAATCTAACCCTTAAGATTATATGCTAACCCCATCAAAACTGCGTTTAGGGCATGTACAATGGTTGATGAGGCGGTCTTATCTTAAGTCTTGCATGTATTTTAGAGATGACAAAAAAATATGTCTACAATGGGTTATATCTTAGCCTTATCTTCAATAACTTGTCATTCCTTAAAACATGGTGAGACAAACTGTGCTAAGAGATCATCTCTTGTCTTCTCTTAAATAAGAGAAGACAAACCTTTTCTTATTAGTTCTCTCTCCTCCACATCATCATTTATCCTACGTGGCACTCCTAAGATAGCACCATTGTACATGCCCTTAGCGATTTGTCCAGGCGGACGAAAACTCTGCTGGAAACGCTCAGGCTCCGAATCCCGTTCGTATATCCTATAAACTAGGAAACAAACACCCCGTGCAGAATAAATTAGGTGTTTTAAAAAGAGAAAGTACCATGCAGAGGAGCAATCGGTGGAAACTAGGAAACAATCGGGTCCCATGCATCACGTAGTTACTGCTTCCGCTAATCAAGGTAGAAAACCAAGAGAATAAATCAAAACCATCTAGGATATTCCTCCCAAAAATCCTTCCAATTTTTTTCGCAAATACAACGCCTTTATACGAACAAAGGCGTGGCCCAGCGTCTCTTCACGTCGCTCGTCGGTGCAGCGAACATGCTCGCCGCCGACATCCACGCTGCCGTGTGCGGGAGCACGAACTGCTTGGGCTATTGGCACGCCTTCTCGACATGGTATTCCACGCCCGACGCCATCAAAAGTGATCTCTTCATCCAATCGGACAAAAACCTCTCCGCCGCCGGTGAGGACGTCTTCAAGCTGCTCGGCCATGCGTGCGATGCCTTCTCCTCCATCCCCTGCGACGCCATCGCCGTCTCCGATCGTGCAGGATTGGTCGCACCACCCAGCGAAAAGAAGAGCAGGTCTCGGCCGGTGCGCATGCATAGGAACCTGGATGATCAGACGAACTCAGACCACCGCCGGAATCACCATAAACGCACGTGAATACGGGTCCTTCGAGTGCACGCGGAATTTTTCCTCGAGGGCAGGAGGCTCGCCAGGTCGGCCATGCGGCCCGCCCGCATCGTCGATGTCGTCAAGATAGATACAACACCTTCAGGCTATACTCTTCCTCTTCATCTTCTCCACCTTTATTGCACTGGAATCTCACGTGTCCCCAGCGGCCCGCTTCCATGTCTGATGAGAAGAATCCCTACAATATGCATGCATCTTGTCAACTCAATCCCCTCTTATTTTATTTAAATCTCAGCCAGATATCCACGTTTGAGGCAGGAACTGCAATTACTTAGCCAGTGGTATCTATTATGTGAGGGAACGGACATGCCATAGGGCACAGGTTAGTCCCCTGGTTGCTCTTTGCATTCCTATTCTTATTTTTCTGTTTATCCTGCATCTTTGTGCTACTACTATCTATTGGCACCATGTCTGACATTTGCTGTCTTTTTGAACATCAGGTTTCTGTGTTTTGTGTTTTGTGGAAACTGCTATGACCAATAGAAGGTAATAAAGTGTTTAAATTTCAGAGGAGTGGTGTGCTACTATGGAGTTGCATAGGAGAATAGGCTATGTAGGTGGAATTGATACTCTGGTATTTTGTTAGTTGGTATGGCAGCCTTGATACCCCATATAGTTTTTTTCTTTTACAAAACATAAACAACAGTATAGACTATATTTTCATTTCAGTTTTAAATTGCAGCAATATGATCTGGACTGAACTAAGTTTTCATTTCAGTCTCAGTTAAAGCTACGGAAGTAGTTTCGCATCCCTTCAAACTCGAGTGTTTCTCCGAATAGCTGCCCACCTGGTAGATGTAACTCTTTTTATGAATTTCTTGTCGTGGGCAAAATGAGTTGAATTTCTTGAGTTCAAGCTTTTTTTTTGCTTCCTCCTAATAGCTGCCCACTTGCTAGTAGAGGTAACTCTTTTTTTTGTATCCATCCTGTGCTCATATATATGCAGTGTGGGAGAGAGGGAGAGGGAGAAGTTCATCGAGTAGGCACGCCTTTCTAAGACTTGCACATTGTGAAATACTACCTCCGTCCAATGTTAGTTGTCGTTCAAACGGATGTATCTAGCACCAACATACGTCGGCGACAACTAATATGGGACAGAGGGTGTATAACCCACCTGTGTGGGTGACCTTTTGAGGAAGGGAGGGGTAAAGAAGTTCATAGTGACACAGTGAGGCGTTTTGGCTCCCAGGCTCATCTGCACCCGTGCTGAATAAAGAAATCAAAACAAATACTACAAAAATTCAAAAAATTCTATTTTTTGGCATGGTAGATAATTTGGTGCGTGATGTCCGCTCCAAATTTCAATTCATTTGGATATCTGAGTAGCTCTCGGAAAAAAGACGGGGGTTTATTAAAAAGTTTACTGTTCATATAATGTTCTAACCTAATTTGTTTTTTTTTTGCCGAGAGCTACTCAAATGTCCAAATGCTTTGAAATTTGGAGCGCACCTCATGCATCAAATTATCTGCCTTGCACACAAAAATATAATTTTTTTTGAATTGTTTCAGTTTTTATGAATTGTTTCTTGACCGGGTGCAGATGAGCCCCGACTCAGAATTGGATATTTGCACAATTGAAAAGATCAAGAACACATTGCCATGAAGAGCATGTTGTGCAATATAACAAAGACTACACAATTATGTGTTTGGAGTTCTTAGGGGTGAGGGGGGCTGCAAGGGGGGTTGTGAGCTGGATGCACAATTGTCAGCGGTGACAAGCTTAGATTGGGGATTTGAAGAGGTGCATATGCATGATACACTCCAACGCACGGGAAAATACCTTGATTTGTTACAAGTGTGAGTAATCTCATTTGAATATATTGTGATCCACCCCATAGATTTGTACTCACTTTATTGTTCGGCATAGTTGAATTGTCTGTGTCCAAAATGCATATGATTTTATTTTGTATGGTTACACTAGATGCCACTACACAATTACAACTTATAATAACCGGTTCATTTAGAATTGTAAATGGAAGTACATACTGATTTTAGCTTCTAGGAAAATGTTTGTAGTTTCCCCTTCAATCCAAATCCCATGAAGTGGAGAGTTCACCAGAGTCCGTGGAAGAAATCTACATGCCATAATGAGGAAAGAGGGAACAACCCGATATGCGACACCGAGGAGTGTAAATTGCAGTTCTATTTTCTTCTTCAAACATGTCTTTTTTTGGGACCAATTTAATTACCTTGTCCAATGACTCAATATGTTTAACAATGGGAGTTTGGAGAATTAGTTAGTAGATTTAAGCCCAGTGAGTCGATATGATTAAAAATGGGGGGTTGGAAGATTAATTAGTAGATTTAGTGTTCATAGTTTACAACCTATAGAGACTGACTGAATGAAACAATATATTATTAGTTTATGCGGCAATGTGACCACCATGATGCAATTTACCTAAAAATACATCCTAAGTGATACCACAAACATTGTGTATCCTTCTAAATTATACATATATATTAAAAATATTTTTTCTCATACGTGCGTTGCACGTGCAAGTTTACTAGTGCTAACAAAATCAAGAATTGACTTCGTTTGCGAAGAAATTTTAAATCTGACCTCTTTTGGTCACGCCAACATCCTTGGCGTTGGGCTTGCATGGGAGACGCCAGACTTTGTGGCGTTTGACCCTGGCCCACACGAACCTAGCTAGCGCTGAAGTGGCAATGCCAGACGACATGCATCTTGGCGTTTGGGCAAACGCCATGGAACCTAGCGTTTTGAGCCCATCCATTGTGAGTAGACAAGAAAAGATATTGGCATTTGGGAGCTAAGCTTCATGTGGAAACTGCGCTGCATGCATGCATCAATAATGGACTTGCTTCCGTCAATAATTGTAGTAGGTTAATTAATCTTATCAGGAAACTAAAAGAATTGGTAGTAGGCTTTTATTTAGCAAAAAATGTATTCTAGAACTTAGGAAACCATCCAAACATACTAGATGGTTACACGGGCACTTACTAGGGGTGCTAAGGGCATCTTCAATGGCAACCCGCACGTGCCGCCTCTATACAAGAATTGAAGTTGTCCGCCTCCATGTTGCCATCAAGCTTGGCATCGACGGGACGGGAGGGGTGGTGGCCTTTTTGGGACACGAATGGTGACGACCTACCGTGCACTACTCTTACTCGTTGTCGGCGGCGCCGAACAACGCCTCGCCCGCCTCGTCATCACACTCCATGCCGGCGGCCGCAACTTCCGGCACCCGCTGTCGGTATCGCCAGCGGGCGAGGTGTATCTCGCGGGCGGAGCGGTAGGATTCAAGTAGCGCTTCCTGCTCCGCCAGGTCCTCGTCCGGCCCGGCAGCCCTGCCGGCGGTGACCTACTCCTCCGCCTGCAGATGCTCCTAGAGGAGGTTGTGGTTGTAGTTGGCGTCGGCCTGCACCTTTCGAAACTGGCCCTCCCGCTCCCTGCACCATGTCCATATAGTGGGCACGGGTCTTGTCGGTGGTCATGGTGCAATAATGCACCGGTGAGGATGGAGCGGAGGAGGAGGGTGTCGCGGAGGAAGAGGAGGGTGGCGCTGGCACGTCGGAGGAGGCGTCCACCAGCTGCCTGCCGACCTGCCAGTCGGCAGTAATGGCGGCCATGGCCTTCTTCTACTCCGACGTCAGCCCGTCCCAGAGAGCTTTGGCCGGGGGGGGGGGGCTCCATGGCGGGAAGTGGTGCGGAGAGGCATGACTGTGACTATGATCGGGGCATCGGGGCATCTATTTATATAGCACCGGTAGGCGGCAGAGGGACAAACGAGTGGCGTCGGAGGAGACTC